CAATTGTAAGTCTTAATAAGGTCTTAAATAAAATAGGGATGTCAAATTAAACATGTGAGCCCACTACATATGACATTTATTATATTATTTCAGATTGTAAAAAATCCATTAATTTCTTGGAAATTGCTTTGTTTACCTTTCAGTTAACGAAAATGAATTTAGCGGATACAGGTTACAGAGAGATTTGCATTTTTTATAAAAAGGGTAATTGGGCTTTGTTTTCCATGATGTCTTTCATGGCCGAGAAAGTGGTTTCCCCAATATAAGGGAGTCACAGGTTCAATCTCTGCAGAAATTCACATTTTCTTAAAAAAGACTTTCAATTGCCCAAGCAGGTAGACATCAATTATACTGTTTAATAAGTAAGATTTGATTTGATTTGATTGATCTGTTTTTATGGCTTCTCAATCTTTTGCAGGTTATTTAAAGCTAGAACATGTTTTGTGATTGTAAGCAATTTTGGGAGATACTATAGATTTTCTCATGCAAATTATATTGTTTAGCCCATAGATAAGGGAGAAGAGGTGTTCATACCTTTCTAAAAGATATTTACACGTAAGTGAATATAACAAACCCGACTGGAATTCAAACTCAGCTACCAGATATCTCATTCAAATCCATTATCCATTACATCTGATCTCATGGCACTTGGTATTCCCAAGCTGTCACCCAGCTAGATACTGACCAGACTTGATGTTACTTAACTTTGGTGATTGGACGAGAACTGGTGTTTCAATGTGATATGAGTGTAAGCCTTAAAAAGTAATGTCTACTCAAACATGCGTACCTTCCTAAATATGAACTGATGTCGGATTATAATGTCCATTAATTCTTTAGAAATTATATACACAAACATATATAACTTGCAAGGAGTACTTCAGTGTGGTGTAATGGTTAGCAAGCTTGTCTCAATTACAACTGAAAAATGAGTTTGATCCTCACTAGGTGCCCCATATTTTCAGCCTTAGGCTATGCTTAGAAAATCATTTAGGGCAATTCATTGTGCTGTAATGGTTTACCACTTTCTCACACTAGGTCAATTACAACTGAAGAGTGAGTTTGATTCTCATTGAATGCCCCCAAATCTTTGGCCTTGTGCCACATCTGAGCTACGCTTAGAAAATCACCATATATAGCTTGCAAGACAAGCACACACTCTCTGATAGGTACCCTTCGATTATGCATTACATCAACTAGTATAAATATACTTCATAATTGCTTGAAAAAGTCCCCTGACAATTCAATCGTCCTGCTTTTTCTTGTAGAATATCTGGTCGCAAAAGTATCAGGTGACCAAAAACATTGTATTCTCTTTAAATGACAGCCGCTGTCAGCATTTTCAACAAGATGCAATTGACAAACAGAAGTATATCTACAGTAGTAATGAGTAGAATCAACATGGCATCCCAAATGTTGAGCGTTCCACTTTGTCTCCTTCAAATATGTAAAGTAACAGAAGCGGGGTAACCAAACTGAAACGTGGTTCCAGATATTTTCAACAGGTTATAAATCACTCCAAAATGCACTTCATAAAAGAAAGCCAGCAAATCTTTGTGATTACCAACGAGAGACTCGTATAGGAACCTATACTGTTTCAAATATGTCAGAATTTTCAACATAAGTTATTACTACGTTTTCTGCATTGAATAAAAAAAAATAATTTTTGTTATACGAGGTCTGTCTGCAAAGTAACGGGACTAGTGTCACAAACAATTTATTTCAATCCCAAACAACAAACTACATGGTTTCCCCTTCAAAGTAATCCCCCTTGAATCTAATGCACTTTTCAATCTTTCTCTGTCACACTTCTATGCACTGCTGAAAGGATTCTTCTTGGATGCCACTCAGCTCTGTCGTTAAGGTCCACTTGTTGGCCTCCACACCCTCAAAACAGGTCCCCTGATGATCCACTTGAGCCTGGGGAAAAGAAAAAACTCACACAGAGCAAGATCAGGTGAATAGGGAAATTGTTCCAGTGCAGCTATGTTCTTCTCAGCCAGGAACTGCCGGATGACCAGGGTGTTGTGATCAGGGGCATTGTCATGGTGAAGCAACCATGATTTGTCCTGCCATAACTCTTGCATGTGAAAAAAGCTAAGATTGCAGTCATATACTCCCAAGATATCATGTTTGATTATAGTATAATCCTCCTATCCCTCTTTTTATCCAGAGCTCACAACACAGCAAATCCCGTTACTTTTCAAACAGACCTCATATATATATATATATATATATATATATATATATATATATATATATATATATATATATATATATATATATATATCAAGTATGTGCTGCAGTTCAATTTACATTACATGAATCATTCATACAAAAATCAGATATAGAAGTTAATGATATAAATGCCGAGAATACATCTTCGCAAACAAATTTAATAAATTACATTAACCCTGAACCTGTAGATGAATATTATGATCCCTGTTTATAAATTCCAGTTGCATAAGGTCTTTTTTTATTTTTTTTACAAGCTTTCATCTGTGCATACAGACATCATCAGGTATGGAAATAGATTTGTTTTTTACATCCCGGTAATAACAGGACAACAAAAGAATAGATGTAATCCGAAATATGTTTTTAGAAATGTGTCATTGTTAATTGTAAGAAATTTTGGAGCGTGCAGTCGCAACACTGACGTTGAATTTTTAAATTTTAAGATTGTGCGTTTTTGTACTAATATTGTAATAGGAGAAATTCTTTTGTACTGGTAGGTTTTTCAGTCAATGTGGCATAAACTAAATTGTCCAATAAATAGAGGAATGTTTTTGTATGAATGATTCATGTAATATATATATATATATATATATATATATATATATATATGGACTTTATCAAGGTGAATGTAAGGATTTTGTTTTGCTACATTTATTTATAAACAGAAGTAAAAAAAAAAATTTAATTTTAATTTAAGAACACTCTAAAATATTCTTAAAGCTCACTGTGTAAGTCAAGGTAAACTATAGAGGACGCGGAGTGATGTAGTTGACACCTGCTTGCATCCAAACATCAGGATCGTCAGCCTCTTTCTCCCATTTGGTGGTGGTGGTGGCGGAGATGGCTGTGAAGACCCAGCCTACTCCTGAAGAGTCATGAGCAGGAGTCACGGAGGTGTGTGAGTGGTGGATACAGCTAGGGGTGTCAGGTCCTCTTGACAGCAGTTCTCAGATCCTCTTCATTTTGACGCTTGAACTCGAAAGTCTTGGTCCCTCCTTGGATGGTCCTCCGTCAAAAAGGCCAAAATGCAGCAAGAGTTTTCCAGCTCCCTGGGTCATGTAATTTAATGCCTAATAACAGAAAACGAGTTAACGTTGTCGAATTTTATTTTCTTATTTGTTTCTATTTGTTCATTTATTTTTTTTTAAATAATGTAATTATTATTTATTTGATTATCTTTATTTGATAAATTATTTATGTATGTATTTGTTTTAAGTAATAGAAGGTCTTGTGTTAACTTTTTTTTAAAGTATTTTTGGTCATATATGTTGGCTTGGTAAAAGGAGTATTTCTTTTAAGAAAGGAGATATTCATAAAATATACATATATGTTTTGATTATCAGAGATATTAAGCCTGGGGGAAAATATTCAGCATTTTCTTTCTCTCTCTTTCTCTTAAATTCAATTTAGCTAATAACAACTAGTGCATATATTAACACTTACTTCTACGTCGTTATAGTATTTTGGCTTGATTGTGCTCAACCGTTTCGGTGAAAATAAGAAATTTCCATTTACTGGAAATAAATGACTATAAAGAAACATGGATGTCACCAAGTTTAGGATTCAATCAGTTACTCTACAGTTCAAAGCAAAATGACAACTCCTAATACACAATATAATAAAAAATATATCACAAAGGTGATATTGTACACTACTGTAGGTAAGTGTTGATTTGGAAATAGCACTAAGCAGAGGTTAGTTTGTAACACAAACCACCACAGACTGACATTTCACAGTACCTTGAAAATGGATATGTATGTCAACAGCAGGCAATGTCAGTTTCAAAAGACTTAAAATTACGTTTACAGCAGCGGAAGTGTTAATGATCAGTATATTTTCATTGATGTGCCATTATTTTGCCCAGTGTACCAGGTGTTCTTGTATTCCATCCATTGTGAAAGAGACTCTTGGCTTCAGAATAAAGTTACCAATGAAATTTGGAGACATCTTTAAACTTTGAACTCAGTAAGGAATACTGATTTGATTGAAATGATAATCTGATGGCACTACCTCTCAGGAAATATGTCGTATGAGGAAGAATTTATCATCCCAACTCTATTATGACTTTTTACGTGGACACAGAAGTGAGTAGAGAAACATCGTCTAAAACACCATGACTTTTTGACATTCCTGTCCAGTTAATGGCCTATTTTCATCGATTGCAGCACTCATGCTTTGATGTTGATAGCTGTAATGCTCTCTAGTAAGAATTTCACCAGGTTTCAGCAATTCGCAATGCAGTATGTCTTTCATATCAAACCATTCTATAGAACAATAACTTTTTGTCCAAAACGGTTAGGTTTAACTGTTGCTTCAAGCTGTACAGGATACTTTCATGATTTTCGGTGCTATAAATGGTCAAAGTGAAACCCCGATTCATCTCCTGTGAGAATCTTCAGTATCTGGTAATAAGGGAAGTGCAGATGATGAGACACTGACCAAGGCTCCCATCTGATAATTCATGTGTAACACATTTTCCTGATTGTTGAATCAGAGGTTGCGAATATCTGACAACTGTTTTAAGTAATCAACACCAAGTTTTTCTGCCAATTTCCACATTGATTGAAGAGGTGTCATCATCCAAAGAGCTTGTATGTCATAATTTCCAAATGCTTCTGTTCTACTGTTGCGTGGTTTGGCCACCTTAACTTCAAAAGCCATTCATAGCATGTACTGCTTCTAACCAAATCATCTTCATCGGCTTCATCAAGCATCATCTTCAATTCTTCTTTGTCCAATTTGAAAAAGAGCAACGTTCATTGGTGCACATGTATCTTGATTGTCGCCATTTTTCTTTCTTTTTTGCTTGCTTTTGTCTTTCCTTCTCCTTTCTCTTTCCTTTCTTTTTTCTTTTTCCTTCTTTCTTTCTTTTTCCTTCTTTCTTTCTTTTTTCTTCTTTCTTTTTTCTTTTTTCTTCTTTCTTTTTTCTCCTTTCTTTCTTTTTTCTCCTTTCTTTCTTTTTTCTCCTTTCTTTCTTTTTTCTCCTTTCTTTCTTTTTTCTCCTTTCTTTCTTTTTTCTCCTTTCTTTTTTTTTTCCTTTTTTCCTTTCTTTCTTTTTCCTTCTTTCTTTCTTTCTTTTTCCTTCTTTCTTTCTTTCTTTCTTTTTCCTTCTTTCTTTCTTTCTTTCTTTTTCCTTCTTTCTTTCTTTCTTTCTTTTTCCTTCTTTCTTTCTTTCTTTTCCTTCTTTCTTTCTTTCTTTCTTTCTTTCTTTCTTTCTTTCTTTCTTTCTTTCTTTTTCCTTCTTTCTTTCTTTCTTTCTTTTTCCTTCTTTCTTTCTTTCTTTCTTTTTCCTTCTTTCTTTCTTTCTTTGCCTTTTTACCTTTTCAACTGTGTTTTCAATATTTTGCTTTTAAAAATAAAAGAAGACGCTGGGAACTTTCTCACTCATGTAATATATTACTTTCATTCTTCCACCACTTCCATTATCCACCACATTCTGTTATTAGCTGTTTCTTTGCAGCGTTTAAAGTGCTTCAGAGATGATAAAATTATCTCTTTAAAATTGCTTCATAAAATTATTTTGTCTTACGAATAACTGCATTGTCTTCTCTTGTTAGTCATCATCTGTGTTGCGTGTGAGCTTGAGACTTTTGAGCCTATCTTTTTGTGCAAGCTTCCTCCTTGTACAAAGCGATCACATCCACATGCGACCCCCCCCGGGCCCATTATTCCAACAGGCAGCTATGAGTGTTTCATAGATGACTGAGTAATGCACATTCTGATGTTCCTATTTCTCAATTGGTCTACAAATGCTGTCTTCCAAATTGCACAGTCTTGGTATTTTACTGACTTGTCACCTGAAGGCGACAGCTATCGACAACTTTTTGAGCGCCAGGTTCAACTCACATTTATTAGCTCTCTTAAGCCTCGTTCAATCATCGGTCAACTTTTCTACTTGTTAAAATCCACTACCTTTTCTTTTTTCTTTTTTTTCATTTTAGCAGCCTCTTTTACTATATCTCTCCTCATTTGTCTCCGGTGTTTGTATTTTATTTTTTTTTATTTTTATTCTCATATTTCGTTAACAATATTACTACCGCTATTATTACTCCATAGACGACTTGTCTTTTAGCCGTCACTTTTATGTCACCCATGTCTCCTCTCACTTGCTCGCTTTGTGCGTGTCTCCATTCATTGTCTCTTGCGAATGAAACTTCCTCGAATATTTCTCAATGTCTACATTATTTTTGTCCTGTGTCTGTCACTTTTTAACGTGTCTTTCTTTTATGTCCTTTTTTTTCCTTCCTTTCGATTCCTCCATGCCAGTATTCGTCCTTGAATCTGTTTTATTTGTTGTGGGTTTGTCGTCTTCACTCATCTATTCTCTCGGCGAACCCTCTTCGCCAGTTTTCTTTTCTCATTAACTTCAACTAAAGTGTCAGTTTACCGCAAACTCTCTTTACACATTCATTCACTGTCATTCATTTATTCTTTCTCCTTCAATATGGCATTTTCTTCGCATAGATCTTATTTTCGATTTCCTTCATTCTTTCTTCTTTCCTTTTTACTTCAAGATGGAAACTTTGAGCTTTTGTTCATTTTTCCTCATCGTTTTTCTTTCTGCTTTTTAAAATCTCACTTTTTTCTTTCTCTTTTGCTTTTTTCTACATTTCTTAATTTCATTCATTCAAATTTCTTTCTTTTTTTTTTGTTAATTTCCCATTGTTTTTGTTTTAATTTGTTCGAGATTTCATTCATTTATATTCTTTTATGGTTCTCCCTTCATTCCTTAATCATTTACACTTCATTTTCTTATATTCTCTCTCTCCTTTTTCATTCGCTTGTTGTCCTCTATCTCTCTCTCTTCATTCACTTGCTGACCTCTCACTCTCTATTTTCATTCCTTTATATTTTCTCTTTCTTTTCATTCCTTTAAACATATATCTCTTTCTTTAATCCTTTTAGTGTTTCTCACTCTCTCTCTCTTTTTATTCCTTTGTTTTTCTTTTTCTTTTCATTCCTTTCTATTTTTCTCTCTCTCTCTTTTCATTCCTATTTTTGTCTCTGCCTCTTTTCATTCCTTTCTATTTTTGTCTTTCTCTCTTTTCATTCCTTTCTATTTTTGTCTCTCTCTCTCTCTCTTCATTCCTTTCTATTTTTCTCTCTCTCTCTCTCTTCATTCCTTTCTATTTTTCTCTCTCTCTCTCTCTCTTCATTCCTTTCTATTTTTCTCTCTCTCTCTCTCTTCATTCCTTTCTATTTTTCTCTCTCTCTCTCTCTCTCTTCTTCCTTTCTATTTTCTCTCTCTCTCTTCATTCCTTTCTATTTTCTCTCTCTCTCTTCATTCCTTTCTTTTTTTTCTCTCTCTCTCTCTCTTCATTCCCTTTCTATTTTCTCTCTCTCTCTCTCTTCATTCCTTTCTATTTTTCTCTCTCTCTCTTTTCCTTTCTATTTTCTCTCTCTCTCTTCTTCATTCCTTTCTATTTTCTCTCTCTCTCTCTTCATTCCTTTCTATTTTTCTCTCTCTCTCTCTTCATTCCTTTCTATTTTTCTCTCTCTCTCTCTTCATTCCTTTCTATTTTTCTCTCTCTCTCTCTTCATTCCTTTCTATTTTTCTCTCTCTCTCTCTCTTCATTCCTTTCTATTTTTCTCTCTCTCTCTCTCTTCATTCCTTTTCTATTTTCTCTCTCTCTCTCTTCATTCCTTTCTTTTTTCTCTCTCTCTCTCTTCATTCCTTTCTATTTTCTCTCTCTCTCTTCATTCCTTTCTATTTTTGTCTCTCTCTCTCTTCATTCCTTTCTATTTTTGTCTCTCTCTCTCTCTTTCATTCCTTTCTATTTTGTCTCTCTCTCTCTTTTCATTCCTTTCTATTTTTCTCTCTCTCTCTCTCTTCATTCCTTTCTTTTTGTCTCTCTCTCTCTCCTTTTCCTTTTATTTTGTCTCTCTCTCTCTCTCTCTCTCTTCATTCCTTTTCTATTTTGTCTCTCTCTCTCTTCATTCCTTTCTATTTTTTGTCTCTCTCTCTCTCTCTCTCTCTTCATTCCTTTCTATTTTTGTCTCTCTCTCTCTCTCTCTTCATTCCTTTCTATTTTTGTCTCTCTCTCTCTCTCTTCATTCCTTTCTATTTTTGTCTCTCTCTCTCTTCATTCCTTTCTATTTTGTCTCTCTCTCTCTCTCTTCATTTCCTTTCTATTTTTTCTCTCTCTCTCTCTCTCTTCATTCCTTTCTATTTTTGTCTCTCTCTCTCTCTCTTCATTCCTTTCTATTTTTTCTCTCTCTCTCTCTCTCTTCATTCCTTTCTATTTTTGTCTCTCTCTCTCTCTCTCTTTTCATTCCTTTCTATTTTTGTCTCTCTCTCTCTTTTCATTCCTTTCTATTTTTGTCTCTCTCTCTCTTTTCATTCCTTTCTATTTTTGTCTCTCTCTCTTTTCATTCCTTTCTATTTTTGTCTCTCTCTTTTCATTCCTTTCTATTTTTGTCTCTCTCTTGTCATTCCTTTCTATTTTTGTCTCTCTCTTGTCATTCCTTTCTATTTTTGTCTCTCTCTCTCTCTCTTTGTCATTCCTTTCTATTTTTGTCTCTCTCTCTCTTTTCATTCCTTTCTCTTTGTGCCTATCTCTCTTTTCATTCCTTTCTCTTTGTGCCTATCTCTCTTTTCATTCCTTTCTCTTTGTGCCTATCTCTCTTTTCATTCCTTTCTCTTTGTGCCTCTCTCTCTTTTCATTCCTTTCTATTTTTGTCTCTCTCTTTGCATTCTTTCTTTCCCTTTCTCTGTTTCTTTTCACTCTACTCTCTTTTTATCACTTTCTAGTTTTCTCTCTCTCTCTCTCTCTCTCTTTGATTTTCTCTTTCATTTGCTTTGACTTTATCAAAAATGTATCTTCTCTTTCCGTTATCCTTCCTATTTTTCTACATCTTTCATTCCCTTTTTCTTTTTTTTTTTTTTTTAGCTGATTCTCTCTGGTCCCCCCCTATATATATTTGATAAGTACATTTCTTAAGCTCTGTTTTTTTTCTGCATTTTTCCTTCCTTTCACTTAACTATTTTGTTTTTTTCACTTTGTCTCAATTTTTAATTTTCCTTCGATCGCTTTCGTTCTCTTGATTTGATTTTTATTCCTTATACTTTTCCTTGTTTGGTCTTTTTTTTTTTTTTCACTTTTTAATACTTTCAAATACTGCGCTTTTCAGTTTGAGCTCTTGTTTGCATTCTTTGTTTTCTCTCATTTCTCACTCTCTCTAGAGTTTATCCTGTGTTTCCTACTCTCTCTCTAACATTCTCTCTTTATTGCTCTCTTTCTTTCACGTGCCCTCTCTATATGAATTTTTATTTCATATTTCACATCCCTTCTCTCTCATACGTATTTATTAATGGGCACTTCGTATTTGAAATAGACGCCCAATATCTGATTATTAAACTGTGTGTATTACGGCTATCATCCTAGTATTCAAATAATCTTAGTGAAGAAAATGTTCTCTAGCAAGGATTGAACCTGTGAATGTGTGGGGGGTGCTGAAAAAATTTCTGCCAGCTATAGACACCGTTCCCCCACCCCACAGAAATAAATATGATGTTTAGTCAGATTTAGGGAGTGGATCTTATTGAGAACTTGTCAGCACCCCTCGTATTTGTCGCCTCTCTCTCTCTCTCTCTCTCTCTCTAACTTTTTTATTTCTTTTTTTTCATATATATGAGAGATTCTTTTCCTTTCTCCCTCTCTTTTATTCTCTCTCTCTCTTTCTCTGGAAGGAAGGAATTGGAGAATAAATTTTCAAAAGTGAGGAAAAACAAGCCTCACTAGTTTCTCTTCTCTATCAAATCCTTCATCCAACCTAAACTTTCCCCGTCCCTGTGCCCACCAATTCTACCTGAATAGGGTGTTGGGGTAGGTGTGGGGTGAAACAAGGTGGGGGGTATGGCAGAATGATGAGGGGGTTGTGTGTGTGTGTGTGTGTCTGCTTGCCCTTTCTCCAACCCTACCCTTTTACTTGTCATCTCCCTCCCCTTTTCCAGGAATGTACGTAAATAACCATGGCCCCCACCATCACCCCGTTCACTCCATACGCCCCTCCACCCAGCCACCTTCTTTCCTTCCTTTCCTCCTGCCTACCACCCCCTCACCACTCACATCCACTGGCCTACCCATTTTCTGTGCCACCGTTTTTCCCTTTCTCCGTGGTACCCGCCACCTTCTCCCACATAACACCTCTCCCATCCACTACCAGCACCACCGCTGCTATCATCGTCGCCGCCACCGCCATCTTCCCTCTTGGCCCGTCTTATTTTTCTTCTTCTTTTGTTGTTGTTGCCCCACCGCCGCCGCTGCCCGCGTCTTCGCCGTCCCCCGTGTCCTTCCACTCACCCCCACACCCTTTCATCGTCTCCCACGCCCCTCCTGCCCGCCCTCTTCTTGCCTGCGCCGCCACCGCCGCTCCTTCTCTACTTCATTTCACTCCCTCCTCCTGCCACCGCTTCCTCACTAGTTTTAATGCAAGCACACAGCAAAACACACAGCTGCCGAACACACGGACCCGTACGAATAAGCATACACAGAGAGAAAAAAAAAAGCCTGTATTTAACACACGGCTCTACGCATACGCACACACAAAGTATAGAATAAGCGCTCACACATAGACTTTCTAACGCTGGTGTGATAGGAACTGAGACATACACACACTGAAAAACCTAGATACGCATAGAAACGTACAAACAGAACATAGAGATGGGGAAAATAACACATAGGAAAAAGGCAGAAGCTTATATATTGACAAGAAACATTAAAAGACATATATACACCGCACACTGTCTGACAAATACTTAAAGCCAGATAATATACACATACACACCAGAATTACACACACACACACACACACTTAGAACTATATTTCTATATGAGAGAGAGACACTGACAGTCATACACTAAGACAGACACGCATATGTATATATGAGATAAAAGACGTCAACACAGTGAGACAAATACATATACACGCACACACACACATTGTATATGAGAAACAAAGCCATACACTGAGATGTACACACGCACACATGTATTTGAGAGAAAGAGACAGCTACATATAAAACACATGTATGGCACATACATGTCTATACATCTCAGTGTATGACACACCTCTCTCTCATAATGCACTATATATATATATATATATATGTGTGTGTGTATGTATTGTATATACTATGATAATCTTAAAATAACCACTAACACACTGTTCGATACTTTTGTAACTTATAAATTATAAAGTGACACACGGTGAGAAACAAAATGTATATTTATTATTAGTGTGTGTAATATATATATATATGAGACAGAGCTGTACCGTAAGATACAGATACACACCTACATATAGAAATATATGAGAATTACACAATGAAACATACACGTGTAAACACGCGTATTTGTGTCTGAGAGAGAAAATGATAGTAATACATTATTGTATATGAGTTATACATTGATACACACACACATGTGTGCGTGTGTGTGTGTGTGTTTCAAGACAAACAGCAGAGATAGATACTGTTAATTACTTACACACATATAAGGTTGTTATGTATGTATGTATGTATGTATATATATATATAGGCACGCTGAGAAGAAGGCTGGTATACATTCTCCAACCCAACAGACATCCAGACGAGAAAAAAAAAAAAATATCTGCTCAAATGCAAAGACTCAAAACATCTATACATTCTTCTAGACAATTCCTCAGACTTTGAACAATAGCTACAGTAAGATTTCAGAAAAAGAAAAACTTTAGTCACCAAAAAAAAAAGTAAAAAACAGTCTATGAAAGTCAAACCTACACATGATTAAAATTTACTTATTTCCAGGAAAATATTTTTTGCACTCGTATATAATTTTATTATATATATATATATATATATATATATATATATATATACACACACACACTACTGAAAAATATACATTTTGCTCCTCACCAGTAGCACAACTCAGTTTCATGCATGATGCAATTGTCAGGTGCTGATTAGAAACTACTGTATATATCTATATAAATACATGCGAATGTCAGTGTGTCACTGTGTCACACTTTTTCAATTTTACTCCTATAGGCCGTAGCCAAATATATACCATTTTGGAATCAGGCCAATTCCGTGAGCAAATTAAAAATATTCTGGCTGTATCTGGATCTGCAATCCTGCAATTTTCATTATTGTAATTGTTTTTGTCAATTTTTTTACGTGATTTTTTTGTGACAACATTTTTTTTATATGATACCAATTTTTATAACTTGGAAATAATCGAAATTTATTTTGAAAGTCAACGAAAGTTGCCCATGAAATAAAAATAATTGTTTGTAGGAAAAGTAAGGATCTGCGTACATGAAATTGTTTTTAGATTAAGTGGCAACAGTATTATTGTTGAACTTTTAAAAAATAAGGTTAAATATTAATGCAGTGATCAATTTTGAGTTCTGTAGTTTATTGTTGCCGATCACATCTCTCTACCTATTGTGATAAAAACCCAATCCAGAGCCCTCCATAGGAGCTAACTTAAATGCCTCTTGACAGGTCAGCTTTTGCTCTAGTATATATATATATATATATGATTTTTAAATGGACCTTTTAACCTAACATTATTTTTTAATAAATTCAATCCAAACAAGGCAATAATGCCACTAAGACATAAAAGGCTACTTTGAGTGAAAGGGAATTAAGACTTCAGAAGGAATCGGAAAGCCAATCCTAAACAAGGAATAAACTCCTACTCCTGTTCAAAAGACCAATGAGGTGTGTAAATCAGATGATAGGCAAACCTGCTATGAACTTTGTTTTTAGTAAGCGTAAGTACAACTCCTGCCAGGAGGCACATTTTTCTTTGGTAAGTAATTCTAGATTTCTAGGCCAGTTGATGTTAATTTCAGTGTATACATTAATAGAATTGTCAGCTCATACACAAGTACCCACTAAAAATAACATTTATAGCTATAAGTATTATATATATATATATATATATATATATATATATATATATGCAACACAGGCACAATGAAACCTTCACATAAGGAGGCAACTGTGATTGGGATCATCAACTCAATGCAAACGATCATTTCCTTAGCTGTATAATAGGTGCTTTGCCAGGGCTACATACAGATTTGAATTCAAAGTTTTCCCTCTCCTACGCCAATTGACACCAAAGGCTGTAGAACCCAGTCTGCCCTACTGTTTACTCATAGCTGAGGAGAGAAGAATTGTATTCATACCTTCCTCAAGGGTATTACTAAATGTGAATCTAATGAACTTGAACAAAATTTGAGTGCGTGTGTGTGTGTATATATATATATATATATATATATATATATATAATTTATTCGAAAATTATAAAATTTGAAACAACACTAGAAGTGTTCAAACAAAATGGCTATTTTTGTAGTGATTTTATAACATATTTATGTTATAATCTGCAAGTAAATAATAATTGCTCTACTCTGTATTGAGCACTCTTTTAAGAATAATTTTTTTTAGTTATTAGACTTCATTCCATATACACCAATCCTATACTTGGATATATATATATATATATATATATATATATAAAATTTCATGAAAGAGGTATTGTATGTTTTTAAGTAAGAATTTATTGTTAATTTCTTATTGTGTGAAGCCAAATAATTAAGTTTCAAATTTCAAACACTATATCAATTCAAAATAAAGCTTTTCCCTTTTTAGAGGAATATAAATAAGGAACAACTTGAATTTATATTTCTGTTAGTCATATTGTATTAAATAATTGGGTAAGTATATTCATTTCACTATAGAGTCATGCGTAAATTTAATTATATATGATTTGTACATATATAAATATTTTGGTGCTTACTCCATTTT